CACAGACAACCCCGTAACAATATGCGTTTTGTACTGCTGTTACACAGCACAAAACGCATAATTAACAAGTTTAGCTCTAATCGGGATCGCGAATTCGCTTCCGCTATGATTATTCGTTAAGCATTTCCTTCTTTTTACCCCTTCCTCCTAATTTCTTTTTTTTTTCTCACTTTTTCGACTATTAGAGCATTGTTCATGCATATTTTTAATCATTTTGGATGTGTAAAACCAAAATTCACCCAAAAGAAACGAGTATTTGGAACAAACCCACAAAATACGATTTTTCAGCCAGGCAACTGTGAACGACAGAAATTATGAGATGCTTATATATGCAAAATACATTAAATTAGATTGAAAAATTAGATGAACATGAATGTTTCGGTCCATTAAGTCATACATATTCTTGTTGATCAACACAAGCGGACTTCGTCAGTATGACGGTTGTGGTGTTGGTAAAATAAACAAATACAAAAATGGACTAAATTTTTGCGGTTTTTGAGAAGATGCGGTTTTTGCACAGTTCCTCACATGTTTTTTTTTGTTGACGGCACTGTTTTTTCCTGCAAATATTTCTAGTAAAAAGAATTGAGACTGGCCACCACGAACGTCGGGAAACATCCCCTTAAAATTTCAACTTTCCAGCTTTTCTGATTCCCGAGTTAGCAATCCCGCCAAAAACTTTCACAGGCCTGCACATGGGGACCAGGTGGGCAAGAAAGTCCATTTTGAGAGCAAGGGCCCATATATACTTGTAGATTAAGTTCCCAAAGTTTCAGCCTTCTCGCTTTTGCAGAGTATCGAAATGAAAAATCGGTACAGATACACCGGTAACCCCTCGATAACATGCATTTTTGCGTCGTCCAAATGCAAAAAACGCATAAAAACAAACCTGGCATTTGGTGGGGCCGCATGATACCACTACAACATCCTTAACAATCTGTTTCTCCTTCAACCGAACGGCTTCCTCCAAGGCGATCTCATCGAACGGATTCATCGAATGCTGCACATTCTCTTTGACCACACCGCTCTTGTCCGGCTTTACGCGAATCTTTATGGCATAATCGATCACACGTTTCACAGCTACCAGCGCACGCATTATTCTGCAAAAAGTAAAATAACTTCGCCGAATCCAAAAAAAAGAAAAAACGAATAGCGACGCGTACCAGGACAGCCGGTGCGATCATGCATTTTGTGCAATTCTCCCCATCGAATGATTGCCTGCTAATGATTTTCACTGTTTTGTACTTTAGTCTATGCAAAA